CCTAGCTACTTGGGTGGCTGATACAAGAGATCACAAGTTAAAGATGAGACTAGGCAATTTAGCAAGACCCTGTCTCAAACAAAATTTTTTAAAATGCCTAGAGATGTAACTCAGAGTGTCTCTGTGTTCAATCCTCAGTACCATTAAAAAAAAAAAAAGAAAAAAAATTTAAAGATAAGGGAAAGAAAAAAAAATTCAACAAAGAAAAACCCAGGATCAGATGGCTTCAATGGTGAATTTATTTTTCTTTTTGAGACAAACTGGCTGGTCATAAACTCCTGGGCTCAAGCAATTCTCCTGCCTCAGCCTCCCAAGTGCTAGGGCTACAGGTGTATATCAATAACCATGCCCAAAAAGTGGACTTTTAAGAACCTGGGTTTTATAAGCAATATTTTTTTTAGTGTTAGGGATTGAACCCAGGATCCTTGTACGAGCTAGACCAATGCTATACCACTGAGCTACATCCCCAGCCCTAATTCTAACAAATATTAAAGAATTAATGGCACTCCTTCACAAGCTCTTCCCCCAAAACTGAAGAGGAAACCCTTTCTAACTCATTCTATGATGTTGGTATTACCCTGATACTGAAGCCAAAGACACTACAAGAAAAAGAAAATTACATTACAATATCCCTTCTGAACATTCATGCATAAATTCTTAACAAAATTACTAAATGAAAATTAATAGTATACTAAAAATATCACACATCATGACCAAGTGGGATGCAAGGATGGTTCAACATGTGAAAATTAAAATTAATATGATACACCATTATCAGAAAAAGGGTGGGGAAAAACAACATACCATCTCAATTGATGCAAAAAAAAATTGACAAACTTCAATGCTTTTTCATGATAAAAACTCTCAACAGGGATGGGGATGTATGTTACATTTATAATAGAACACTTTGCCTAGCATGCTTGAGGCCCTAGATTTGATCCTGTCTCCTTCCAAAAAAAAATCACTGGCTGGGGATATAGCTCAATTGGTAGAGTACTTGACTTGCATTCACAGGACCAGGGTTTGATCCCCAGCACACACTCAAAAAGTTACTTAGCAAATTAGAAAGAGATTTCAACTACCTCAACATAATAAAAATCATATATGAAAAATCCATAATAAACATCATATTCGATGTTGAAAGATTGAAAGGTTTTTTTTCCCTAAGATCAGGAATAAGGAAAAGATGCCTACTTTTACCATTTCTATTCAATATAGTACTAAAATTTCTAGCCAAGAAAATGAAATAAAAAGCATCCAAAAAGGAAAGGAAAAAATAAAGTCATACCTGTTTGCAGACAATACCATCTTACAGAGACAAATAATAACTATATGATATGGTAGATACCTTTATTAGCTTGATTTAATGATTCCATAATGTATATGTGTGTCAAAATATCATATTGTACTCCATAAATATATAAAATTATTATTTTTCAGTTAAAAATTTTGGAGTAGAAATCTTAACGATTCCATTTAAAAATGGCTAGAACTACATATAAATTCAGTACAGTTTCAGGATTAAAAAAAATCAACATAAAAAAAGAGTAAAACACGTAGAAATAAACTTAGCTAAGGAATAAAAGACTTGTTTACTGAAAACTATAAAACATTGATTAAAGAAATTAAATGATAAAAACAAACAGAAAGACATCCCACATTCATGGATTGAAAGAGGTCATATTGTTAAAAATGTCCATTCATCTAAGGGTGATTACAAGTTCAATGCAATTCCTAAAAATACCCCAATGGCATTTTTTACACAGTTAGAATAACTTCTGAAGTTCATGTGAAACCACAAAAGACCATGAATAGCCAAATAAATCAAGAAAGAAGAACAAAGCTAGAGGAATCACACCCTGGCTTCAAAATACATTGCAAAGCTACAATGATCAAATTAGTATGGTGCTGGCATAAAGACATATAAACCAGTGAAATAAAACAGAGTTCCCATAAATTAATCCAACCATATACACTCAACTAATCTTGGACAAGAGTGCCAAGATTATACAGCGAAAAAGGATAATCTCCTCAACAGATGATTTTGGGAAAACAGAATATCCATATACAAAATAATTAAATTGAGCCCTTATACCATATTCAAAAATCAACTCCAAGTATAATAAAGACTTAAATTCGAGACCTGAGACTGGAACTCTTGGGGGAAAAAAAGGGAAAGGCAATATGGGAATTGGGGATTCTACTGTGCCACCACTTCCTATAAAACACACCATGAATATTGAAGCTTGGCATGAAAGGGGGTCAGTGGTAAAGGCTCCACCAACCCCAAATCCAACAGCCTCAGCCATTAATTCAATTGCTAACATTGGTGCAATGCCAGCTGCCTCAGTCACCACAACCACAGCAACAACAAGGACCTCAGCCACAGGCCCAGCCACACCAAATGCAGCCCCAGCCACAGAAGCTGCACAGTCTCTGGGAAGCATCTTGGAACAGGGGAGCAGGCTCCAGCAAGAACAATGGAATGGGCCATGAAAACTTTGGTTTAGGGGTTATACCTGTCAGCGCTTCACCTTCTAGCACAGAAGCACATTCAGTGCTGGAAAAGCTAAAGGTCTTAAACAACTACAATCCCCAAGACTTTGACTGGACTCTGAAGGATGGACATGTGTTTATCATTGAAAGCTACTCTAGGATGACATACATCATTCCCTCAAGTACTCTATCTGGTGTAGTCCTGAGCATGGTAATAAGCATTTAGATGCAGGTCACCATTCCCTGAATGGGAAAGGCCCACTCCATCTACTCTTTAGTGTGAATGGCCAGGGATATTTTTGTGCAGTGGCTGAAGTGAAGTCCCTTATGGACTATAATGCATATACTAGTGTGTGGTCTCAGAATAAAAGGACGGGCAAATTTGAAGTTAACTGGATCTTTGTCAAAGATGTTCCCGATAATCAATTAAGACCCATTCACTTCAAGAACAATGACAACGAACCAGTAACCAATTCAAGGGACACTTAAGAGGTACCCCTAGGGTACCCTTAAGCTTAATTGCTACTTTCAAGCATACCCGCTCAATCTTTGATGGCTTTTTGCACATTATGAATTAAGATGAGGAGGAAGCCAGGAGCGGTGGCACACACTTGTAATCCCAGCGGTTTAGGAGGCTGAGGCAGGAGGATCATGAGTTCAAAGCCAGCCTCAGTCACAGTGAGGCACTAAGCAACTCAGTGAGACCCTGTCTCTAAATAAATACAAAGTAGGGCTAGGGATGTGGCTCATGTAGTCAAGTGCCCCTGAGTTCAATCCCCAGTACCAAAAAAAGAAAAAAAGAAGAGAAGGAACCCTGTGCTTCTCCTTTGCTGGAAAAGCAACAAATCTTCTTTTTCCTTTTTCTAAAAAAAAAGGAAAAGGAGGAAGCCATGTGTAGGGAGAGAAACAAGCAAACAATAACTGTGTAGAGATGTCCTATTAAAATTACAACACTAACGATATAGACTGAAAATGCCTAATAAGTCAAAGAAGACTTTATTAAAGCTTTTTTTCCTGCTTAAGGTGACATCTTTAAATACTTTAACACAAAATTGACTCTTCTTATAATGGTTTTCATCAGCAAACTTATGCTTTCACCAAATACGCTGGAGAACTGTCGCTTCATCAAAAACTAACTGTCCTGCAGCTTCTACCAGTGTCTCCCGTCTTTTGTAATTATGCATCCTCGCTAAGGCGCAGAAGACTAAATGAATGAAAGCCTTCATTAACTCTTTGAATTTGTTAAATCCTAACAGTTAACCATCAGAAGTAGTTCAAGACGTAAGAGTCGCAGTGCTTCAACTTTTTCTTTGTTGTAGTTTTTAAATTGTCTATTTTTAACCCTCTAAAATCTGGAACAAGACAGGGATGCCCTCTCTCACCACTTC